AAAAGCATTAGGGGGTTTACTGTCCCCAGAATAAAAATACATTGTCTGACAGACGCCCCCCCTTCACGCCCCGCCCCCGCCCCTTGGCTCAGGCTGCAGCCTCATTGGTTGTCGGGCGGGGCCGCTTTGCCTCGGAGACCGAGCGGGGTCCCCTCTCTAGGGGGGAGACCGCTGCCTCCCCTCGCCAGCCGCGCCGCGCCCGGGACCTCTCTGGTTGTGCTCGCTTCGTTTCTTGAACCTGGAAGGAAAAGGCACTGCCTCGAGGGCTTCACGGACTGCAAGATTCCCGGCTTTTGCCTCCTTTAAGACGGCGATCCCGGGAGTGAAACTGGCCGGTGAGTTGCTTGAAACTGTTTTTGGAAGGCTGTTTGTGCTCTCTCTCTCTCTCTCTCCCTCTCCCTCTCCCTCTCCCCCTCCCCGCTTTCCTCTGAAGGGGACGGGAGAAGCGATTATTTTGCCTTCTTTTCCGTCCGACTAAGGGAGGGGGGCTAGAGTCTGGGAAAACGACCCCCCCTCTTTTCGTGCCCGGGGTGCCTCGGGGTGGGGGAAGCGGAGCAGCTGTCTGGCCTTCTCAGGCAGGTTTTGCAGCCGCAGAGAACTAGGAAGGTCTTTTAAGCCCCCAAACCCCTGGCAGAGGGAAGGGAGGGGGCGCTGTCTCCGGCCTTGCAGGAGCAGAGGGCAGGCGGGGCGTCCGGTTTTTAGGAACTCTTCCTCCCGGCTTGAAGTTGCCGCAAACACACTGCCCACCAGGCTCCTTCCCCCCGCCCCCCATAACAATGTTATTGAAAACAACTAAAACTTACAACAGGTAAGGTAACAAGTAAGAAACACATAGAATGATCAAATAGTTATAACTATATCAATACAATTTCTAATACAAACAACACTATATATTTTTTTAAAAATAAATTATAAATTTCCAAAGATGTAAAGCGTCAATCATGGAAGGAATTTCGCCTTGATTAGTTAAATATTGCAAAATAGGAAACCAAATTGCTAGAAAGTTCTATGAGGATGTCATTTAAATTTTCAGCGACTTTGGCCATTATTTGTATGTTCCAAAGTTTTGCGTGCCGGTGCTGCTTTGTTGGAGTAGCCGTGTTCTTCCCAAGTAGGGCTACCGCCTTCTTAGCTGCTGCTAGAAGAATGGCTACTCTAATTCTTGTACTATTAGAGCCATAAATGGGTATCCATCTATTTAAGATTATATGTTCCATTGTTAGCTGTAAGTTCCCTCTAAGCTGTGGAGTCTTGTGAGCAAAAATTCTACTTTGTGAGCTACTGGCATTAAAGTTGTGAGCAAGCAATTTGGCTACTGCATTAAATTGGTTTGCTCTGGAGCCATCCTTCCTGAGCAAAGACCAAAATGTCTGAGCCAGAGGCTAAAAAACTGTGAGCTAGCTCACACTAACTCATCTTAGAGGGAACCCTGGTAACCGTACTCCAGTTATGAGAACTATTTGTGACAGTATGTCTTTCCAAAAGCTTTCCAACTTAGGGCATCCAAGCCAGCAATGTAGATGTGTCCCACTTTGGCCGCAGCCCTTCCAGCACACTGGTTTTGCTGAGTTAGATATATATGCCAGCCTCTGCGGAGTTAGAAAGTAAGTATTTTAAAAGTTTGCAATTTAATTTCTATAATGTTAGTGTTGAAAGGAAAGGCTGCCCATAATCGTTTCCAGCCTTCTTCAGACCATACAAAGTTCCCGAATTTATACCACTTATCTTGATATGGTAGTAATTTTTTCACATCTGCTGATATTAATTATAAATATAGTTTAGCTATCTTATGTTTTCCTGATGTTTTCATTAGTTTATATAATTGTTTACTTATGGTAAATATTTTTAACTGGGTACTTAGATGTTTGTGTATATTGCAACCATGTTATAGTAGCACGTACTTTCTCTTCCAACTTTTCTTCAGTCATGATGTTTATAAATAATATCTTCTAGTGTAAAAAAATTTGCTTTCCCCCATTTGTCTTGGTTAATTGGAAAATTTGGAGGTATTAGCAATTTTTGATTTAAAAGACTCTGGAATTTTGAAACTTTGGGAACTAACTGCTTTACTCTATTGCCCCAGGCGGTTAAGAAAGTTTTAAGAAGCAAACTATTCTGTATCCTGGTTGGGCATTCTGGTGCTGACTGCCAAATTGTTTCTGGAATGCTGTAAGGGTAAATACAGAGCTGCTGGAGAATAATCCAATGACAATTTTGATAGTTATGTAGCATTTTAAGTATATTAGTTAAATGAATAGCTTGATAATATTTGTATAAATCAGGAAAACCTAGACCTCCCTGAGTTTTATGTCTAAAAAGTGTTGCTGGATTAATTCTGTGACGTTTGTAGGCCCCCAAGATTTTTAATAATATCTTTTGCCATTTATCTATTTGGTTCTTAGATATTGTCAGTGAAAGCACTCTAAATAAAATAATACATTTTGGTAAAATATATGTTCTAATAATGTTAAGCCTATCATGACAGCTTTAAATTATGCCAATGATGTAGCTGTTTTTTGAGTTCATCAATTAGAGATAAATAATTTGCTTTAAATAAGTTTTGTATGTTTAATGGGATTTTAATTCCCAGATATGTCATATTTGTTGTTCCCCACTTGAATGTTGTAGATTGTTTGAGGTATTCATTTGTTTTGCTGTCTAGATTAATAGGAAAAATGTAGGATTTAGTTGTATTTATTTGTAATTCCAATATACTACCGAATTTCTCCAATATTTGCTGCAAATATATTATAGGTTGCGCAAGAAACAAAAGGATATCATCAGCAAATAAGGAAATTTTAAATTCTCTATTTTGGAGATTTATGCCATATATTTTAGAATGATTTCTTATTCTTGAAGCCAATGGTTCCATCACCAAGGCGAACAGGATTGGGGATAGAGGACATCCCTGTCTTGTCCCACGCTTTAAAGTAAATTGTTCAGAGGTGTTGCCATTGATTTTTAAATATGCTTTCAGTTGATCATAAATTGTATTTATTATTCATAAGAAATTATCACCAAATCCTATAAAATGCAACACTCGCTTCAAATATGCGAAGTTGACCGAGTCAAAGGCTTTTTCTGTATCTAAAGCCACACAGATTGCCTTTTGCTGTTTTAATTTACAATAGTATATCAAACTTAAAGCTTTATAGGTACTAAGTCAAGTCTTGATTTGCCCTAAACCCAACTTGCTCTTGAGGAACATATAAATGTATTCAGGCGAGTAGCCAATATAGATGTAGAAAGTTTAAAATCAGTGTTCAATAAGGATATTGGTCTATATGAGGTGACGTTGGTGGGATCTTTTTCCGGCTTAGGTGATACTATGATGGATGCTTGCAGCCATGACGGCAGGAATATTCCAACTTGCATGATATGATTGCAGGCTCTGTTTAAAGGTTTTATTAAAAGTTCTTTAAATTGTTTATAAAATTCAGAAACAAAGTCGTCCGGTCCAGGGGCTTTATTAACTTTAAGCAGTTAATACCTCTTTTTCAGAAATTGGGCTTTCCATTATTGATCTATGTTCTACTGAAAGTTTGATATTATTGTAGTGTTTTTCTGAATAACTATTTATATTGTCCACATTAATATTTTTGGAATCATATGATGGTTTATGATAATCTAAAAAAATTGTTATTTCCTTTGAATCAAATTGTAATGTGCTTTGGGCGTTTTTATTGCTGACATAAATCTAGATTCTCTTTTTTGTTTAACTCTTCTAGTCAGGATTTTCAAAGCTTTAGCCGTATTTTGCCATGAGTTTTGTTTTAAAAATATCAAATGTTTCTGTATATGTGAAATGTCTAAAGCGTCTAATTCTCTTCTTAAGCTTAAGAGTTTCTTATACGTTTTACAGCTCCCTGTTTGTTTATGATTAGCTTCCAATTTCTTTATTTCTGTTATTAATTGTTCTCTTTTTTGTTGTTTATGTCTTTTTAGGTAGGCAGTTTTGGATATCAACTGTCCCCTTAACACTGGCTTAAGTGCATCCCATTTACATGTTGGAGAAACATCATCAGTATTATTATCTGCAAAATAGCTTTTGATGGCTGTCTCAATTTCTTTTTCATTTATTTATTTATGTATTTGATTTATACCCCTCCCCTCCGAAGCAGACTCAGGGCGGCTTACAAGGCCAAGTAGAACTCAAAATGAGCACTTGGAAATTTCATTTGCTTCACTTTAAAAGATGAGTAGTGAGACTGGAAGACATCACACTGGTCTGGTGTGATGCTTACTTAAAATCAGTTAATTATATTGATTCAAAGGGATTTATAGATTTTTCTTTTAAGCAAGCATAGGTTTTACCATGTGCAATGTAATATTACCAATAAAACGATACACAGCAAGGTCAGGATTCTAATACTACAATGCTACCAGAAAGCATATTTAATAGATAATAACAAACTAATTAAAGAGAGCATATTATTTTGTAGTAGTCGTCACCATAAACTATTTGTTAGAATTGTTAGGCAGAATTGATAATATTGATTGCAAAGTGTTGTAGTTGCTGTCTCAATTTCTGTTGCTATGATTTGATTCTGCAATAAAGACTTGTTCAATCTTTGTCCATTATTTAATGCTAACTCGCAAGTTATCCAATTGTGATCTGACCACTGTAGAATACCAATCTATTTTGAATTTTGCCTAATAAAGCTGGGGAAATTAAAATGTAATCCATACGAGTATATGTACCTTGTCTTTGGGAGTAGTAGGTATAATCTCTTTCTCCTTTATGAAATTGTCTCAAAACATCTAATAAAGGAAATTGATCTAAAATATTTGCTAAGGGGGTAAGTCTATTTTTAAAGGTTTTTGCTATTTTCCTGTATTTTGTAATTGGATTTGTCTAGAACCTTATCAATAATATAGTTTAGATCCCAAGGACAATTTCGCCCTCTCTAAAGTCTGCAAATGTATCCAGCACCGATTTAATATAAGCATTTGATCTGAATTCGGAATATATAGTGCCACTAAAGTCAGTATTACATTATTAATAGGTATCTTCCCAATGGGTCTTTGAGAGTTTTTATAAGAGAAAAGTTAGTGTTGTTTGATATAAGGATGGCAACACCTCTTGCTTTGGATGTGCCATAAGCTTGAAATCGATGTTTAAATTTATTTGTACTGAATAACATTGTAGATTTATAGGAGTTGTGTGTCTCTTGCAAAAAAAATCCCAACAATATTGAGATGTTCCCTAGTTATCTGAGGAAAAAATACGTTTGCGTTTTACAGGATTTTTAAAACTGCTAACGTTGTAAGTCATAAACCTAAGTAAGTTAGTCATGTTCAGAAAGCTTACTACAACTGAATTAAAGTTTAGTGCTTAAACTTTTACCTAAAAAAGGAACAATTTCAAAAGGAACGAAAAAAAAAGACTCAGCTCTTAACCCACCAGGCTTTTGAAATAAAACAAACGCTTTGGAAATGCCCCTGCCCCCTCTGGGGTCAGGCAGAAATTTTTCTCCGGGCCACTTTGGCCAGGGATCTTGTAAGGCGTTTTTTGCCTTCTTCTGGGCGTGGAGTAGGGGTCCCTGGGGGTGTTGGGGGGGGAGGCATTTTTGAACCTCTGGCATCGTGGCACCAAATTATCTTTTTACTGGAAAAACGGAGGAAGGAATTACGTCGTAGAAAATGAAGTAAAACACTGACTTAACTAAGGGACGACATGTTCTCAGTGGGCTGGCAGAAAGTGAACGTCCTGGTCAAAACACAGAAACGGAACATGCGGGAGATGCAACGTCCAACACGCAACACGTGGAAGGGCACGTCTTAGGCATGGCTTAGTTCGATCACTTTCTTTTCATAAACGACGGTGGTTTTATACTATATACTCTATACTAGCCGGAGTGTCTTTAACCTGCAACCTCCGACAACGGCTCATCCCCAGACTACGGAGACCCCATCGAAAGAGACGTGACGTTAACAGACGTGTCGGGATCCGTCGCTGGCTGCCCCCCCCCCCCCCCCCGCCACCGCCCCTCCTTGGCGCCGGCCGATCGAGGTCGACGTCGTGTCACTGGACGCAGCTGAAGCCACCCTGGCTGCTTTGCGAAGCTCTGCCAGCCAGCCTCAGCCCTTCAGGGGGCTCAGCAGCAGCAGGAAAACATCGTTCACTGTTGTTCATGGACGTCTTCTGTGCAGACATACACATTGTGGGGCTGCACAGCAAGACGGGTGACGCACCACCAAAGCAATAACCAGTCCCAAAAGTAACAGAAATTGGTTTTATTTAACTAATAAAAATAATCTAGATATTTACGTTCAGATCAGGGGCTGCAAGCGTCTGGTCAGGAGAAGATGCTTGAGGCAAGAGCTTAGGTTTGTCCATCCTTGTCTTTGTTCCTTAAAAGCACATTGCATTTTTGCTGACCACATGCGGTAATTATTAGCATTTAAAGGCGATATGCGGTGTATATGCAGAGGATTAGTCACATGCGCAGAATACATAACCCACTGCCGATCCGGCCGGGCTTGCTGTAGTTGAAGAGGAAGAAGCAGCGTGGGTGCTTTTCTTTTTGCAGGCAGGAAATCACTGTTCTTTCTTAGCGCCTTAGCTCCAGATTGAGATGCTCTTTGCTGAACGCAGGGATTGGTTTCAGCCTGTGGTGGATTCAGTAAATCAGCCATGTTGACTTGTTGGCTCTCTCTAGCAAGTCCACATGGTCGAAGCAATGGTATTCCCAGCAGTCATGTATGGCTGCCAGAGTTGGATCAACCCTGACGGTTCCCTGGAAGGCCAGATAATGAAACTGAAGCTCAAATACTTTGGCCACCCAATGAGAAGGGAGCACTCCCTGGAGAAGACCCTGATGCTGGGAAAGATTGAAGGTCAAAGAAGACGGGGACGGCAAAGGATGAGATGGTTAGACAGTGTCATCGATGCAACGAACATGAAATTGAGCAAACTTCAGAGGACGGCGGAAGACCGGAAGGCCTGGCGGGAGCTGGTCCATGGGGTCGCGAAGAGTCGGACTCGACGGCATTCGTTTTGTTTTCCTTTTTGCTCAGCGTTTCCCCGGCGCACTGGTAGGACGGAGGAGGTAGGGCGCGAATGTGGGGCAGATTGCAGAGGAGGGTTACCGCGGACGGTGCAGAACTTCCCAGGAGAGGGCGGCGGGTCAGGGCTGCTAGCAGACGTGCAACCTGAGGCCGGCGGCACCGCAGACCTCCCATCGCCTTCGTTCACACCAGTCATCTGCAGTTGTGCCAGGATTTCTGCCTCCGGCGTCTGACCGCCCTTACACGACGGCGGCGCTGACTACGTATCTCAGCCGCTTGACATCGGGTTAGTCTGCTTGATTCTCCGACGGCCAGAATAGAGGGATGAGGGGGTCCAATCCGGCCTAGGATGCCACAGAATCTTTTGGCATCGGCCAAACACCGAAGGAGGGTTTCCCTCTGGTGGAAAGGCAAGAACGGTAGCCGAACCACGGACTCGAGGAGGTCAATGGCCGAATTCACCACCACCAGTAGGCTGACGGCGCCTCCGCGACGTCTCACGAAGAGCCGCAGAGCGAATGCAAGCTGGAAGGACGCCGCGATGACGGTGAGGATGCGCAACAGGTCCTCGAGGAGGCCAAGAACGCTGGGGTTGACAGCCTCTTCGAGCCAACCTAGGATGAGGTGTAAAAGGAGAGTTGCCATTGCAGCCCGCGGCGGCCTTCTCGGAGCAGCGTTGAGAGCGGCGGTTGATGGTTCAAGTTGGGGCAGGTGCTTTTTCAAGAGCTTCACCAATCCTCCCCCCCCCTCCGCCCTTGGGGTCCAATCCCTGCAAGGCAGGAAACGTCGGGGTCCAATCCCTGCAAGGCAGGAAACAGAGCATTTCTGCCGTCTTCAAATCAAACCAAATAAGAGGCCCGTCACACGGGCAGGATATCGCGGGGAGGAGGCGTGGCTAATTGCCCCGGCACAGTTTGCTCCGCGATTTCGCCGCGGCACACCACGCCGGCGTTGTGCAAAGCCTGTGTGGGCTGAGGCTGCTGTGCACAGCCGTCGAAGGTGACTTCCTAGGATGAGGCGCAAAGAGCTGAGCTCTCTGCAGGGTTTCCGCTAGTTCCGGCTGCTGGCTTTAGCAGACGCTTTGCAAAGCAGGGGAGAGTGTCAGAAATCACATTCTGTTCCCCTTGTCCTACAACCTCGATGCCCTAACCGGGGGTCCTCCTCCTCCCCCACAGCGGAAGGGATGCACTTGGGGAGTCTGGGGAAAGGAGGACCGGGGAAGGCTGCGCGCTGCGGTGGGATCCGCCAGGCTGGCTGAGGGTCCGAACAGAAAGACCACCGGCCTTTCCGTTCCTTTGCCCGGCAAGCTGGTGTCATCACAGTCACGAGTCCGCGCGCGATCACGTCCAACAACGGGGGGAGGGCGGGCGTCGTAGTCATGCTTACAGGTACCGGTTACACCGCGGGAGACACGCTCTGCCAGAGTTCAGGTGAAATCCTCCACTGCTGGCATTCCTGGTGCGTCACCCGTCTTGCTGTGCAGCCCCACCATGGCTATCTGCACAGAAGACGTCCATGAACAACAGCAAAACGGATGATGAACAGTTACCGGTAAATTGTCCTGCTGCTGAGCCTCTGGATCCAGCGACATGCCGTCCACCTCGATGTCCTCGGCCGTATGCGGAGGGGTGGGGTGGGGGCCCGGCAACGGATCCCGACACGTCTGTTAACTTTCGATTGGGTCTCCGTAGTCTGGGAATGAGCCGCCGAAACTCCAGCTATTATGGCGTTAGACCAGGATCGTTTATGAAAAGAAAATGATCGAACTGAGCTGTGCCGAAGAAGAGAGAGAAAGTTGGGGGGGGGGGGGGTTTATAAAAAAAAGGAGGGTTTTGGTCTTTGCGTCTTGTGCGTCTGCGTCTCCTGCACGTTCCGTTTCTGTGTTTTGTCCACGGCGTTCGCTTTCTGAGAACATATCGTCCTTTAGCTACGTCAGCATTTTACTCCATTTTCTACGATATAATTCCTTCCTCCGTTTTTCTTTTCTTTTCAACTTTATTGATGTTTTAATTAGAATACATAGGTACACAGATACATAAATAA